CACTAAGTTATTTTAATGAAAGTATTAAGATTTTATTAGTAAAAAAATGTAAAAACTTTTTATGAATATCTTTTTTGTGTATAGTTATAAGATTAGTAGAAGAGTTTAGATAATATATTTATTAATCTATAGAATATAAACAAACTACTATTGATTATATTAATATATTTAAATAATATCAATAGTAATTAGAAAAAGAGTTCTAAAAATTGTTTTTTTTAAAGTTTCAAATATTTAAAAAAAATATTAAAAATATCAAAAAATAAAAATTTTATTATTAATATAAATTGTAACCTTATTTTTTTATTTTTTTTTTAATTAATCCTCTATCAGCCTAGTTATATGTGCTTTATTAAACAATTGTAAGTTATACATTATATATGTGTTGCTAAAGCTAAATTTCTAACTAACTTACTTATTAAAGTCTTATATTTATCTAGAACTCTAAGTATAACTTTGGGAGTAATTTATCATTTCATTAGTAGTTCAAGTAAAAATCCTTCCAATCTCTAATATAATTACCTGTAGATTACTACTATATATCACTGCACGAGATTCTGACAAGGATTAAAACCCAACCATTTCATCCCATATTTAATCTTATTTCTTATAATTTCTACAAAGTTTTTATTTTCACTCTTTTTTCCTTCTTCTCTTTGCCTTGTACTTTTATAACTGGGATTATCTTGTGGATCTTGTCTTCTTACTTCCTGGACCTTCTTGTATTTTATTCTTCTATCAATTCTTTGTTTTTGTTCTTATTCAATGATTTTTTCACATCTCACATTCCAGACTTGTTTTCAAATCTGGTTGCAAATCTTCTTTTGTACTTTTAGAATCCATTTTTTTGTCATCATTCCCAGCTTCTTTTTATGATAATTTAGATTAGCAGCTTCTTTGATTGCATTACCTTCTTTAATCATGTGTAAAGTTAAAAGTACTCGAATCGATTTGTGAGGTTGATTCTATTAGTTTGGAGATCTATTTATTTAATTCACCTTTTTCTTTTTTATTATCGATTGCTAGTTGTATTATTTTTTCATCTACTTCTCTCTTACGTTCTTGATACAACTTGTCAAATTCTTTAAAAAAAATCTCAGATATTTTTTGCCATGTCACTAGAATTTCAATCTTATGATCAGAGTATTCTAATAAATGTTCTATTGTCTTTTGATACTGATTGCATGCTATATATCTTGCTTGTTTGTATAGGTCTGATCTTCTTATTACTAGCTTGCTTAAGGTAGATAGTTCATCATTGATCAATTTAACCAGAAAGCTTCTTTTCTGTAAACTTTTGAAGAAGGTATCTTATGTATTTTCATCCTTTAACCTATCCCATACCAGATTCCATAAGTAGATTTGATGCTTGTGAACTTGGTGATACTATTTTATTCTGTTCTGTGTTGCTATATCCATGATAAAACCATTGATATTTTATTGATTTGTTTAATAAACTGTCATATTGAACTATCTATCACTTCTTTTTGTCACATAGTTTCTGTAGATATCTTGCTTGATTTGAAACTCTTCTATTTTATTGCTAGTAACTTTAAAGCCTCTTTGACCAATCGGTCTGATTCTTCATTCCATGAATCATTAGAGTGGACTTTAACCTTGGTTAACATTAGTTGAAATGTTTTTTCTTTACAAGATCTAGCATTCTCACCTATAATAACCAATTATTTTCTTTTAGCTATCTTTTGTGTGTTAAATAAAATCAACAATTAATTAAATAGAAATAATTAAAGTACTATATGTAAAGATAATAATTCAAGTACCGTTTAATATCTTTTAATATCAGTTTTTCACATAAGAATTTTTTTATATAAATATATGTATATTGTTACAAATACTACTTTAGCAATTTATTATATATTCAAAAAAAAATCATTTTAAGCTGATTAAATGGTTGGTTTTCTATCATGTAAAGGAGAAATTTTTCCACAAGAAAAATTCGTTTGGGTTGGATAAATCTAAGATTAATCTCACTAATTATGTTGCAGTCAACAAATATGGTAGAGTCTATGTACATTTATTTTCACCCGATGGTTGTGAGACCCATTGGGAGAATCGATACAGCTAGCTCATAATCTTCGTTCATGCAGTGTTCGCAACTTAATAGCTATGAAGCGTTCAGTGCACCTTTATCTACATAGTAGTTTCATATTCAAAGAAAAAAAAACTTTGATCGAAAGATTGCTCGTCTTGATATCACCCGGGTGATGGATTGTTTCTTCGGTTGCAAACCAAAAGATCTTGCACTTAATTTCAATTCTTGATTTTTTTTTTAGAAAAAAAACCCCAAACCGAAATTTTTAGCAGCAACACCGGTGTAATTACAAAGAAAACTTAATCTGCATCATATTAGTACCCAATGGAACACAAAATAATGAAAAGAAATTGCTTCTTAAATTACATGGGATGAAGTTAATGATGCCTAATTTTTGAGAAGCATTAAAAAAAAAATTATTATCGGCGTCGGAAGCATTGTGGGATTGATCTTCGGATATATTGAGGGTCAGGTGATTTCTGGAATTTGATCGGGTAAAGGTAGTGTGATGCATTACTAGCTTCTTGTAGAAATCTTAATGTCACTGAATTTATGAGTGTAAGTAGAACGATTTTACGGAAATTGGCATATTTTATGGGCGTCATCGAATACATTATTAAAAGAAGAGCAGGGAAACATCATGTGGCAATAATTCAAGGTGGTTTCAAAAAAGTAGCACACCATCCGTCTCACGAAATCGGTTCAATTGACTTCTCATCAACAACCGGTTACATACGCACAGATATAGCACGATTAATATCTTCAAATTCCTCATCGTCCAGAACCTCTTTATCATCATCGTCGTCGTCGTCATCGTCATCCTCTTCCCCTTCGTCGTCACCACAATCCTCCTCGTCATCATCCTCACTCGTTACTTTGACCTCTCTGTACTCTCCATGCATCAATGAGGCACCCTCGGTTTTCCTTGAGGCTTTTTCATCGACGTTGTCGTTCCCGTCACCATCTCTCGGCGCGATTCTCACTCGGTCCTCCTTTAATAATTCCTCTATTATCATTGGAATTACCAGTTCACATAGGAATGCAATGACGAAAGCCGAGGACATTACGATCACGATAAAAACCAAACCCATCATATGAATCCTTTTTTTTTCTCACGAAAAAAAAAAATTGATTGTTATTGCTGATAACAGTGTGGAGCCTTTCGATCGTTTGAAGGGAGTGGGAGCGTGATGTCAAGAAAAAAAAAAAGATGGTGGGATGCGTATGAAAATTCAAAGAACTTCGAAAGTATTCTTTTAGGCATGGAATTTGTTAACGAATATATTTCTCTCAAGTGTAATAAATGATAATTAAGAAAAACATACTTCCTGGAGTCCGCCCCCAAAATTCGTCCGTTATTGTCAAGCAGAAATGACTTGAGGAGAGTGCATCAGAGATCAAAGAGACTAAAATTTATGAAAGTTACATACTATATACATCAGAGCTGTTACATACGTCACCCATGTTGACTTTGAAATTGGATTCGTATCACTGAGGTCACATGTTCATAAAGTTTTCGAATCCCGTCCTGCTGGTGACGGAGACCTGGCCGTGAAACTAGGTCTTTGATAATATGAAACATTACCTTGAATAAAATGGTTCTAATTTTAACCCTTACCTGTATGGGTCACATACGAACAGAATAATAATAATATTATTATTATTATTTTATTTTTATTTTTTTATTTTTATTTTTATTATTTATTATTATTATTTATTATTATTTTTCGAAAGAAAGAAAAAAAAAATGAATATGCATGACTTGTTTTTTTTATTTTAGGTATCTGCATGTACCCTTTGATAAAACGTTTTTTAACGTTTCATCCGTAGATCTTACACTAACAGTAGCACCGATTTAAATTTCCAATCACAAATGTAATTATCAAAATGGCACAACATAACACGCATTGTGTTCTTAAAGGTCAATGGACTCGAGAAGCAATTGTACAATCATCAAATTTCTTTAGGGTTCTATATTAAGATTCTTACAATAAGTGTCACCGACATATCAACTCCGTATCAGGTTTCCAGATGAGAAAGATTATTGCTTCGCACAAAAGACTTCTAACTTTGGATTGGTGACACGTTAACATCACAGGTGATGGTAGGTCACCGAGGAATAACAATTTAAAAGCATTAGTCTCTTCTTGCTCTCTTTCCTTCTGTCACCTTCTCGTGCGTTGCACGCCCTCATCACAATGCTCGACTAACTCGGATGATTCGAAAAGTAGATGAGACGTAAATTAACAAATCTATGTTTTTGGTAAGGCTTTATACTTTTTCTCGTCATCAATTTGATTGGTGTCTTTGATGGGATGTTTTAAGTAGTGATGAACAAAAAGAGCCACCGGAATTAGAAGCTCACAATAAGATAAAGGTTATCTTGGAAAGGTTTTTCCAAATAAAAGAAATAATTATACCTCTTATCGCAATCGTGACCCATCTAATTTACTGGATGATAATTGCACATCTTTTTTAAAGGAATATGTGCATATTGCGTCATTTTTTTAATTTAATACGTATGCACTGTACGTCACAAGATGATTTTCTTTTTATTATCATTTTTTTTCTTCCGCCCATCTTTCAACTCGGCTTCCTTGCCCTTTCAATTGTTACCACAGAAGATTATTCCCCTTCCATTTAATTCGCACGCTACGTAACTTGAGCATTATTGAAAATTCCGTCGAACTGCCGATCGATTCTCATTTATTATTAAAAAAAAGAAAAGTTTTTTCTTTCTTTCCTTTTTTTTTTTTTTCCTTTTTCTCCTTCATCAACCAACATCTTAATCCGTCCTACTTGACTTTCTTCTGAAACACCTTATGCTCCTTACTCTGTATCCTCTTTGGAGGCTCTAATGTTTTAGAGGTGATCAATTCAAAAGAGAACGCCACAAAGAAAGCAATTGCCGCGGTAAGAAGAGGAAACATCACTTCCAAATTTTCCATTATGATACGACAGAGGTCGACTATTGGATTGAAAAGGAAAGTTTAAGTGATTAGTATTCCGGGGGGAGGTGTAAAAAATGTCGTTGGAAGAGGCTCGATAACGGGTACCTGTCAACAATTTTGTCTTTTTCGAAGGGGAACTCGTGCACCAAGGAAAATAATTCTTTTCTTGATTTTTTTGCCGAGCAGCAAAACTTTCGACGATCAAAGTCTTAACTTTTCGGTCGTTTCTCAAACGGTAATTTTCAGTGTCGTCACAAAAGATGAATTCGTAAGTTAGAAAGTCGAGAAAGGAGAACGAGATCTATCGCACAAGGCCTGGGAAAATTGTGATATTTATAATCGTCATATGATGGACGTGCTGTAGGTTAATAATTTCTTAGTTTATTCAATAAGGGAATTTCTTTTCTTTTCCGAACCCTAAAATATCTCACCCCCCAAAATTAACTATTTGGGGGGTCGATATCACATTGGCGCAACGATGCTTGATGTCGCAATTTGAATTTCTTGTTTACAGTGCGTTTGTAAAAATGAAAGGCCGCCACACACCTCTGTCGGTTGAAAACAATGATGCTTTAAAAAAAGAAACTTGCTTTGTGCGACGCAATATCATGATCGAACCTCGTGACATGTACTAATTAAAATAACCTCACGTTTTTCATTGACCACAAGCAAAATCGATGATCTTGCGAATGGCTTCTCTCGAATCTCAAGACCACGATTTGATTTAATTCAGGCTCACATGGTTACATACGTAATGAGAGAGTACTTGCGTTATCTGCTATAAATAATAGACGTACCGTATATTTTGTATTTCAATGCGTGAAATTAAAATCGCATTTACAATATATTTATCAAAGACAATCGCAAATTCTTGTAATAAAAATAAATGCAAAGCTTTTATGTCTAATTAAATATTAAAGCTTCCCAACAAAGCAAAGAATCCGCGCTCGCAAAAAAAATATACATACGTACATGGCGGAAAAATAAAAGGAGCGATATAAAAATGTTTGATCATCTCATTCCAAACCAATCATGTCAATGCTTTTCATTTCATATGTCAATCTCGCACGTTCGTTCTTTTTAAAGATTGATCTCGCCGAGATGTATTTCGGATGTGAGGTGTACTATTATTATTATTATTATTATTATTATTATTATTATTATTATTACCACATGTGTCAATGGAAGTGATATTTCGCGATTTGTTAATGCAGGCAAAAGAATTGAGTAAGAAGTGTGAGTTTGCGAGTTGTATACCTCGAGATCTTTGTCGGTCTGTCTGAGACATCGCTTACACATCAAAGCTTTGCTGTCCAAGTCAAAGACACCTTCCAATCGCTTGAACATGGTCACCAATTGGTTGCTTCTTTCCTTGTCCGCTTTCGCCGGTGATTTCCTGGAAAGCCTGGATTTCGTGAGTTTCAGATATATCTCATGCTTCGGGTGTTGGCATTGCAGCTGCGGCTGCGGGGCCAAGGTACTCTCCTGGTGCTTTGGCTTTTTTTTATTGGTTTTAACGGCATTCGTGGACTCTCCGGGTTTCACGACACTTTTGCTGATGCATTTCGGTGAGTCAGCCTCTTTGTTGGTACTTGTAAAGGAGTTGGCACACTCTCCGTCGGAATCTTCGGGGGGGAATGGTCGTTTGAGCGAACGAGGCGACACCCTTCCCTCTGCTGCGTCACCGATAGGTGACGCAGTGATATCTCGTTCCGTCATTGTCCTTGTTGAAAGTCATGGTGAGGCAGAGCAAAATGTGCAATATCCTAACAGCCTTTCAGGAGGGAATACTCACTCGCCTAAATTCTGATTAAGGTGACAAGAATAATTGATGATAATTGCGCGGAATCTTTAATGACGTCAAGCCGTAAGGAAATTTTCGTTGACGGGCTGATCGTTTCTTGCAAATTGAGAAGTTAATAAAAGTCGTTCGTTAAGGTCAAAAAAGTTAAAAATAAAATAAAATTAAACTTTTTTTCTTATCCTCCTTGATGTCAAAAAATGGACGGAAACGAGGAGTGATGAAAGAATCGAAAAATAGAATAATGACAACAATTATTTATTAAGTTTCAATCGTGCCGCATGATTTTCACATGACGTTAAGGATTATATCATTTCCGTTGGCGTGTAGAGTTTTTAAGATCTGGGAACCGCGGCGTTTTCCTTGAAAACGTTGATATTTTTAGTACGAACACGCATCAGGACAATTTCGCGACCAATGGAAGCCTCCGTTGGCTCCTGTGACTTCGTTACGAATAGAAACAATTGGGTGTCCCCTCTACGATGGCTTCCTTATTTGTTCATCGCGATATTTACTGTGCGGATTGCACGCACCAATTCTAAAATGATCACAATGATCAGTCACCGTACCGTACTGTGCGTTCTTATTTTGACACTGATAAAGTTCGCCTACGAAAAGCAACCACGTGACACAAACATTCGTGCAACGTCGCACCCCGACTGCATTCAGAAGAGACGCAACCAAACCTTATCATGTCCGGTGGATATGGAAGTTCTTTCTCCGGGGAAACATCATTGCCTCCAATTAATAAAGACTTTGAATTAGAGTTTGGTCTTTGTTTCCTTTTTAAAGGCCTCTAAACAATGGTCATATTATCGTTCACGATCACGGGATTCCGCAATTCATAGTAAGATAATATTAGGGAATAACCAAAGTTCTCATTTCACTTTGCTATTATCCCGTCTATTTGATATACACGTTCTGTCACAGATTTTCCATTTTCAAGCGAGAATGAACTCGCAGGTGACATCGGAATTCTTGTCCAATAGCACTTCCACAACAAAAAGAAAAAGAGAAACAAAACAAACCAAAAAAAAAAAAAAAACAATTTTTTCTCCCTTTTGTCTGTTTTCCAAAGATATCCTTATTGTTTTCACCATGAGTAAGAATAGTGCTTAATCTCTTGGCGCAAAGGGGCATGGTTCCTTTTAATCTTGTCACAGTCACGAATTCCTGGTATTTTGTAATACATCGTAACCCCCTATTGTGTTGTGATTCTAGACTCTGGAAGATTTCCATTTTCCATGATACATAAAATAAAATATTAAATTACTCATCGTCGGAATGGGATTTATTCCATAAAGTAGGGAGAAGCCGTGTTGTAAGGTTGGTCACCGCAGTCAAACATGCGCGTTCCCAATTGTGCAAGTTACGGCCGTTATTCTTCCAAGGGGACCAATAGAAATGATACATTCAACATGCACGCGACAAGCTATTTTGCAATATTTAGTCGGGAACATGTATGAATTTCGAGAATATGGTTATGAACTCATTACCTAATCCTAGTAAATACGAGCGCAGTATTACGTCCTATACATAACTTTTAATAATATTATTAGCACGTGATTCCGATTCGTAATGCCGTTAGGTAACTCAGAATCGTTTTGAACGCAGATTCGAAACTCGGAGGAACGTTTTGCTTCCATTGTTCAGGCTGTTGCAACCATCAATACCTGTTTATTTCACCCTGTGAGCTTAAATGAAAGAAGCAGTCGAGCAACGTGCGCACACCATGCAATCGATGTTTGTTTCACATAATTCTTTTTCTTTTTTTTTTTTCCTATAAATGTGCGCGTTATGGGGGTATCGGTGTTTATTACTTTCATTTTATTTATTTTTTTATTTATTTTTTTTTTTCAACGCATTATAAAGTCCCTTTCTGATATCTCACATTTTCACAATAAATTCCATATTTTTTTTGTTATTGTTGTTTTTTGGGGGATGCAAAGAACTGAACACACGCTTGTACCATCAACAACAACATAAATACAACCCAACCATTTTTTTCTTGTGAATAACTCCCCCCCTTTTTAAGAGAATGAAGAATAACCGACCGCCAGCAACTTCCTACGTAAGACGAAGTGAAAACATATCCTTTTCCTTTGCCGCAGGAAAGGACACCTTTCAATCTGGATTCCTTGGCAGCGAGAATACATACTTGGAGGGAATATTGCATTTGAATTACCAGAAGCCAACTCCTATTAACAGAATCGTCCTCAACCTTAAAGGAAAAGAGAAGACCAAATTATGCGAGAGTCAAGCGAAAGCAAACGTCCTCTATAGCGGTTCTCAAACTTTTATTGACAAAAATTATTTCATTCAAAATGAAGAAAAATTGATTACGAAGTTGGACATTCCTTTCAATCTTCTGCTTCCTCGCAACCTACCGGAATCCGTCAACATCTGCAATAACAATGGCGACGAAATCGGAGGAATCGATTACATTCTTAGCGCCATCGTTGACCGCAAGGGATTTCTCAAGACGACGCAAAAAGCGAAAATCAAATGCCCACTGAAAGGAACATTGATTATGCACACAAATGACCCCTACCAATTATGTGGAAGCTGGGGAAATTTGCTAAATTATTCTTTGGAGCTACCTCAGGACAACGTATTTGCCATTGACACATATACGACAATACCGATGAAAATCAAGTTTTTTCGTTCAGGGGTTAGCATTGAAAAGGTCGAATTCACTCTAAAAACGATCGTCGACTTTTCATTCGACAAACCACGCAAGGTCTCGCGTAAAATCAAAGAAATGGTCGTATCATCGGCAGCGATACAACACCAGGAGCTTATGTTCTTACGACCGGCGAGGGGGGAATACGCTTTCTCCGTTGAACTGCATGTTCCACCGAACACAAAACCCACCAATTGTTATTCCAACACGTTAATCCAAATCACTCATCGATTGTGCGTGAAGTGTCATTTGTGGGGGGGAACAACTGATTTCGTGTTGGAGGAACTTGTGACCGTCGCTGACGCCAGACGACCCACGCAAACCTCTCGACTGCAAAGTCCACCGTTCATGTCTTTAAACAATTCATTATACAGATTTGATGACTCGGACGAAATTTTCCTAGATGAAAATGATGATTTCATCTACGTATACGATCAAAATGGCGAAAAAATTCACAGTTATGGAATTCCGTCGGGCTCCGGGCTAAAGTAATTTAATATACTTATTATAACAATAACGTTGAGTATTATTTCAATAATAGATTATGATGAATTATGTGTGCACGCACGTAGATAATCTTCGCGTCACAAAAAAAAATTTCGGCTACGCCGATTACGTAAGTATTACACAATTACCTCATACCTATTTCTATAAGTATGTGTCCCTGCATTAAATACTTTGTCTGCATGGAAAAACACCAATGTGTAGTAAATCCATTCTTTACCGTTCATTATGTTTTGTTCTTTTGGAGGTCATCAATGGTAGCCACGTTAGCGTAAATTCGTTTAATGACGTCATGGCAAAAATTTTTTATGGGTGGGTGATACAGTATGTAAAAAAGGAAATGAGATTCCTTCTAGGTTTAGCCGTCTTACTTAATATAAAATTACCAAACAAACTTGCGTTTATATTTATATAACAAAAATATGAATAAATATTAGGAATGTGGTAATAAGTAAAGTACTGTATTGTGCACGCATGCAGCTGTATATATATATATATATTTTTGGTAAATTACAATAAAAACATAAAGTACAACAATACATAATGTTGAATTACGTTAGCGCACTTGCAAAATTATACTTCCACCAAAGTACAATATGTAATATTATTCTCACAAAGTTGGAATTATTGGTGCTTTTTTTTTTTTTTTTTTTTTTTTTTTCAAAAAAAAATTTTTTTTTTTATAAAATTTTTTTTTTTTTTGTTGTAAATGTATCTTGGCCCAGCCTTTTCT